TTGTAGTATCAGGCTGCAACATAACAAAATTGAAAAAAGTGAAGGGGGCCTGAATACTTTCTGAATGCACTGTATAAGTGTCTAGTTGATGTCAGACATTTTATCCTTGTATCTGCAGGAAGGGGAACTTATAATTCCCCTTAGAATTTTAGAAATCTGTAGCTCAGACTTGAGTTGCACAAGAAATGTCTCTTCCCAAGGCATGCTAAGATATGAGACTGATTGGGAACCACATACATGCTATTCTGAGCTCCTCATGAGCTTATGAGCTTCTCCCATGAGGTGCAGCTAGAACCCTTTGGAACAAAGTGTTCCCATCCATGTGGATTAAACCCTTTTTAAACATTTCCAGTTTTACCATTCTAGTAGATGCACCTATAATAATGCTTGTACAAGTAATCCTCAGTTAACAATGGCAATTGGGACTGGAATTGGCATTGCTAAGTGACACAGTCATAAAGTGCAATGTTACGTGGCCACGCCGCTCAGCAATAGCAATTCTGGCACTCCCGGTTGCCATACTTAAGCGAATCACTGCAGGTCATTAAGCAAGGACCTTACATGATTGCCATTTGCAACCTCCTGCTGGCTTCCCCATTGACTTTGCTTGTTGGAAGCCAGCAAAGAAGGTTGCAAATGGCAACCACGTGACTCTGAGGATGCTGCAATGGCCAGAACTCCGAGGACCGGTGTGGTTCTTACCAAGGACTACCTGAATAGTTTTAGGGATAACCCAAAAGCCATTGACTGGCATGCTAACAATTGCTTCCTCCTTTATAGGGCATCCCTTTGAACTTAATGTCTAAAAAACTTCAGGTGATGTTATGTTCTAAGGCAGGGTCATGCTGAGTGATGCTCTGCTATGGAGCTTTTTTTATGTTAAACCTACTATGAGATAACCCAAACAATGCACATGTGTTTCTTTTAAATCAAAAGTAGAAACATTTGTGCTTATTCCAGAAGCAATTCTGTTAATTGTTGTCTATCTGTCTTTTTTTTCAAGCTGCTCAGTTTATTAAACAGAAACTTCCTGATCTTCTGCGTTCATATATTGACGCAGACGTCAGTGGAAATCAAGAAGGTGGCTTCCAAGATATTGCAATAGAGGTCTTGCACCTCCTTCTTTCCCATCTTCTTTTTGGGCAGAAGGGAGCCTTTGGGGTTGGACAAGAACAAATTGACGCTTTTCTCAAAACATTGCGCAGAGGTAAGTTATATATGTCATGTGTCTATTTGAAGCCTACTTCTAGAGGGCCTTGTAGGAAGTAAATTATTTGGACTCCTTTCAAGTCAACTGGGTTATACTGGTTATATCTCTGAAATGGCATTGATTGTGCTTGCTGATGACCTTGGGTGAGTGTGGGGGCTAGTGTATCCATCCTGATCCATCTTGATCTCTCAGTAGCTTTTGATACAATCAATCATGGTATTGTTAGCCCTATAAGGTAGATGAGACTAAGAAAGAAATAGCATATGGGTCTAAAGCTATTTTTATTAAAACAGCTATAGTAACAGAATCCTGCAAGTCTGAATGTGCTTCCCTTCCTCCCTCTTTTATCTTCATGTGAATTTTATCTTCATGTGAAAGGGGGCCTGTCTGAATTGTTTTCATAAACCACTTTCTTGGTTTGGGGTGAAGCCTCATTTATCTGATCACTTCTTTGGCAGTGGATCTCCTCTCTGTCCTTCTAGATTGGCTCAAGGGATTAGGAGTGGGAGACACAGTGCTGAGGTGGTTTTCCTCCTTTTTCCAGGGTCAATTTCAGGGGTGGGGTGGAGATTGAGCCAGGGTTTCCCAGTGTCTGCAGGCTGTGAGGGTCCAGATGGAGAAGAACAGGCTTCAGTTGGACCCTAACAAAACTGGCCGGCTGTGGGTTTTGAGGCCCCCAAGTCAGAGACTTTCCATCTTTAGCTCTGAATGGGGTTCCCTCCCGCAGACAGAGCTGGGCACAAAATGTGAGTATTCTTGGACTCATGGCTCCTACTCAAAGAGCAGGTGGCGACCATGGCCTTTGCACAGGTTATGAGACATTTTCTCAAATTATATTTCTGCTTTGGACTCAGATTTCTTTTATCTAACTGGTGTCTTGGCTGCGGCTCTTCCTTCTGTTCCTCAAGGTTATTCTTACAGTCCATTACAGGTCCTAAGTCCCAAATCTCTTGTAAGAAAAGGAACTCATAAAAGCCATGAATGCAGAGTTTTGTCCATTTGTGGCATCCTGCAGTGTTCCAGGACAGCAAGTGCATATTAGGAGCTAGTGATAATTCTTCAGATGTGTGTAAGAGGTAATAGGATTGGATTTGATGAAATTTGTGCAGATGCAGGGTGGGAGTTTGGATGATAACTTTTCCTGATTATTAGTAAGGCAATCAGTAAGAGCTTTCTGAGTGTTTTTCCCTGTCGTACTCATATATTATGAGCAGTACTGAACTTTCTTTTTTATCTCCTGTTCTTAAAATTTCAGTCTGTTTTGTTTTAATTTAAGAAACAGAAATGTTCAGCGTAAGATTACTTATTATTCTTCTAATATGAGTAGGAGGAAACATAGCAGAATAGTACCCAAAATGAAAAAAGTCCAGCTTGATTCTTTTTTTCTTTCTTTTATTTAAAATAATTTCTTCCTGGAGAATTGCACACAACGGAAGGAATTCTCTTTAAATTTATTCAGCAAACACAGTAAGGCTTAGAAGCAAAATTCAATTCTCCAAGACCAATATTAATGAGAGGTATGATAAACTAACTACTCAGAATACCAAAACGAAGATATTAAAGAACTGCAGTCATCAGAAATTGTCTTCAGTTCAGAAGTCTCAACAACCAGGATTAACTAAGTTGGAAACCAAATTGGAACTACTCAAATCAGAATTATGTGAAAATAATTTAAAATTCAGAGATCTATTTGAGGATTTTGGCAAAGAAGAACTGGAAAGAGAACTGGAAATTTTTTTCAAGACGTATCTCAATTTGGACAGATGAAACTCTGAAAATTCAAGAAATCTACAGAATACAGGTAGTCCTCACCTAATGACCATTCATTTAGTGACTATTCAAAGTTATGACTCATGACCAGAGTCCGAAGTTACAACCGTTGCAGTGCCCCCATCACATGATTGCAATCTGGGTACTTGGCAATCAGCTTGCACTTAGTATGGTTGCAGCATCCCGGGGTCCCATGATCTCCATTTGCGACCTTTCCAGCCAGCTTCCGGCAAGCAAAATCAATGGGGAACTGAGTGACTCACTTAACAACTGCATGATTTGTTTAATGACCCCCACAAAAAAGATTGTAAAATCGAGTCTGGTCATGTGATGATTCGCTTAATGACCACTTCACTTAGCGACCTACATTCCGATCCCATTTGTTGTAGTTAAGTGAGGACTGTTAATACTTGAGCAACATGGAAACTGCCATGGGACATGTTTGTCAACTTTATATATTTTAAGACTACAGAGGCAATATTGGTACTAAAAGGAAGCAAAATTTGCTTAAAACTTGGAGATAGAGTAATAGAGACTTTACTAGATATATTCAGGAGGAGGAGAAATCTAAAAATTTTGACAACTGTTCTTCAGGAGAAAAAAATCAGATATACTCCATTTCATCTGGAAGTCTTTATGGATGTGGATAAAGTTTTTGTGTACTCTGTTGATGATGCTAAGAGAATGCTTTAATCTCTATTACACAATAAAGGGGAATAAAGACCAAGTACAGACTGTAGAGAGTAAGCAAGATAACCTTGACAGAAATATGCAGGAACTGTTACTTAGGCAGAAGGGGCTGAAGGCATTTTTTAAATCCATAACGATGAGGTAACGTTCAGAACCAGCTCAGGCAGACACCTGATGCAGCACAGTCACGCTTACAGGATTCTATTATAGCCAATCTCGATAAAAGTAGTTTAGTGTTTCTGTGGAGTTGATTTCCTGGTCTGGTCTGCCTACTGGAACTGACACAGACAAACCAAAATTGGTTCAAGTAGCTGGCACTTCAAGGAATCAAGATTGACAATAGACAAAAATAAAAAACTGGACCTAACAGTGGGTACTTCTGAATAAACTAATTTAAGAATTATTATGGATCAAATTAAAATAATCTCGACCAATATCAATGGGATCAATAGTCCATTTAAAAGGAAAAAATATTTTTATGTTAAAAAAGGGAAAACCACATGTTATATGCCTTTCAAGAAATGCATATTAAAAATGGTGTAAGTATGTGGGAATATAAACTTCTTGATCAAAAGTGTGTGGCTTTGGATAGACAGAAAAAATGGATATATATTATATTTATATATATAAATAGGGGGACTTCAGTCTGCCTTCTCTAGAAATGGGGTCTGAGGTGGCTCGGGAGTTCATGGCCACCATGACGGCCATGGGCCTATCCCAGGTCTTCCAGAACCCAACCTGGGACAGTGGTCACACTCCAGATCTGGTATTCCTGTCAGAGCAGTAGCTATATGATCTGAAATTGGGGGAGCTCTTGGTGTTTCCCTTGTCATGGTCAGATCATACCCTGATCTCCATGGGATTCTCTGGTGCCACTATCCACTGCAGGGAAGCTGGACCCATTAGATTGGTCTGCCCCCAACAACTGGTGGACCTGGATGGGTTTCAAAGGGAACTGTTAGTCTGCTGCATGATCCATCCAAAGCCTTGGTGGCCACTTGGAATAAGGGGGCAGCTGAGGCATTGGATTGGATCGCACCTGTGTGACCTTTCCCCTCTTTGGGATCCTACAACTTTCCATGGTTTACAGAGGAGCTGAGGGAAATGAAACAAGAGGAGAGACATGTGATCGTCACTGGTGCTCAACCAAGGACGAACTCGACCAAAGAGAGATTAGAGCCTCTACTAAGGGTACCTTCTGGCAGTAAGGGCAGTGAAGCGGTGGTACTTCTTCACCCTTATTGCATCCGCAGATTGTTGCCCTGCAGCCCCGTTTCAGGTAACACGAGCCCTCTTGGGTAAAGGGGAACATTTTGCAAGGGTGTGTGGAGGAATTTGCCCAGCATCTGTCAGGCAAAATCAGTCGGATTCATTCACAGTTGAACAATGGCCTTGTTGCAGGTCCAGAGAAGATGCCTGGGGTGGAGTCTTGCCCGGTTATCTGGGAATGGTTTGAACCTGTTGGACCTGAGGAAGTGGGTAAGGTCCTTAGGACTATGAGCTCACCCACCAATTCTTTAGATCTTTGCCCCTCCTGGCTTGTGAAAGCAACCCGGGGGGTGTCATGTGAGTGTGTTCTAGTGATGATTAATTCTTCTTTGAGTGTGGAGGTTCTTCTTTTGCCTCTTAAAGAGGCTTTGGTTTGCCCCCTTCTCAAGCCATTGTTGGACTCCACCATACTGGACAATTTTCGTCCAGTATCTAGCCTCCCCTTTTTGGGGAAGGTGGTTGAGAAGGAGGTTGCACAACAGCTTCAGAGGGCCTTGGATGAAGCAGATTATCTTTTCAGTCAGGATTCAGACCCAGGTGTGGGATGGAAACCACATTTATCACATTTTTGGATTATCTGGCGTGAGCTGGATTGGGGTTGTGCATGCTGTTTAACTCCTGATGTTTCCTTATCTGCAGTATGGAATGCTATTAGCTTTTATTAGAGGTTTGTTTATCTCTCTAACATCAAATACTGTAATTTGCAAGTGTGTTAAATGTGGGAGTAAGCTTCCCCCTAACAAATGGATATTCATTGGATCTTTTAAGTTTGATAGAAGGACATTGTCCCTGTTCATGTTCCTAACTCAGAAAAGCAAGCCTATTATAACAGATTCTGCTATATCAGAGCTCTGTTCTTGGAACAAGCTCTTCAGGTGTCTCGTATGACTCTAAGATTAAAAGACCAGGCTGTCTGTCAGTGTTGCTTATATTGGTATTGTTTGGTTTGATAGTAAATTGTAAATCAGACCACCTACCTGGGATAGTGCCTTGTGGAAATGGCATCCCCCTGGAGATCCAGATAGCCCTAACCCTGTTAGCCTTTCGTACGGATTTAAATTATTTATCATTACCATTATTCCTTGGCCTGCCACTCCCAGTTTGGAGATACCACTATATTTGGCTTCCAAAGAGAGAGAGACTAAAAAGATATTAGATGGTCCCTATTCTTCACTAGCTAGGAGGTTCCTTCCCATTGAAATTATTAATTGAACTATTGGAGCTCTCTTGCGCTTTTCCTTTGTTAGCATGTGCCCCAGCTCTACTGC